ACTCTCCCATAAAGGCCTGATTGGTGGAGTGTTGCAGAGATGGTTGTCCTTTTGGAAGGTTCTCCCATCTCCACAGACGAACTCTAGAGCTCTGTTAGAGTGACCATCGGGTTCTTGGTCACCTCCCTGACCAAGGCCCTTCTCCCCCGATTGCTCAGTTTGGCCGGGCGACCAGCTCTAGGAAGAGTCTTGGTGGTTCCAAACTTCTTCCATTTAAGAATGATGGAGGCCACTGTGTTCTTGGGGACCTTCAATGCTGCAGACAGTTTTTGGTACCCTTCTCCAGATCTGTGCCTCGACACAATTCTGTCTCGCAGCTCTACAGACAATTCCTTCAACCTCATGGCTTGGTTTTTGCTCTGACATGCACTGTCAACTGTGGGACCTTATATAGACAGGTGTGTGCCTTTCCAAATCATGTCTATTCAATTGAATTTACCACGGGTGGATTCCAATCAAGTTGTAGAAACATCTCAAGGATGGTCAACGGAACAGGATGCACCTGAGCTCAATTTCGAGTCTCATATCAAAGTGTCTGAATAATTATATAAATAAGGTATTTCTGTTTTTTATTTGTAATAAATGTGCAAACTTGTCTAAAAACCTGTTTTCACTTCGTCATTATGGGGTATTGTGTGTAGATTGCTGAGGATTTTTATTTATTTAATACATTTTAGAATAAGGCTGTAACGTAGCAAATTGTGGAAAAATTCTAGGGGTCTGAATACTTTCCGAACGCACTGTACAGCGAGCTCCAAAAGTATTGGTACAGTGATTTAAAAAATAAATGATACAATGACTATGAGGTTAAAGTACAGACAGTCAGCTTTATTTTGAGAGTATTTTCATCCATATCAGGTGAACCGTTTAGAAATTACAGCACCTTTTGTCAATTTTAGGGCACCAAAAGTATTTTGACAAATGTACTTATCTGTGTATTAAAGTAGTAAAAAGTTCAGTATTTGGTTCCATATTTGTCAAAATACTTGATATGGGACCAAATACTGAACTTTTTACTACTTTAATACACGTAAATGTGAATTTGTCAAAATACTTTTGAGGGTATTTTCATCCATATCAAGTGAACCGTTTAGAAATTACAGCACTTTTTGTCAATTTTAGGCGAACCAAAAGTATTTTGACAAACACAGCAAGACAGTCGTGAAGAGGGCACGACAACGCCTATTCCCCCTCAGGAGATTGAAAAGATTTGGTATGGGTCCCCAGATCCTCAAAAAGTTATACAGCTGCACCATTGAGAGCATCCTGACTGATTGCATCACCCCCTGGTATGGCAAACTGCTCGGCCTCCGACCGCAAGGCACTACAGAGGGTAGTGAGTACGGCCCAGTACATCACTGGGGCCAAGCTTCCTGCCATCCAGGACCTCTATACCAGGCGGTGTCAGAGGAAGGCCCTAAAAATTGCCAAAGACTCCAGCCACCCTAGTCATAGACTGTTCTCTCTGCTACCGCATGGTAAGCGATACCGGAGCGCCAAGTCTAGGTCCAAAAGGCTTCTTAACAGCTTCTGCCCCCAAGCCATAAGACTCCTGAACAGCTAATCAAATGGCTACCCGGACTATTTGCATTGAACCCCCCCCCCCCCCCAACTCTGCCTGGAAGGTCAGCATCCCTGAGTCGCCTCTTCACTGTTGACGTTGAGACAGGTGTTTTACGGGTACTATTTAATGAAGCTGCCAGTTGAGGACCTGTGGGGCATCTGTTTCTCAAACTAGACACTCTAATGTATTTGTCCTCTTGCGCAGTTGTGCACCAGGGCCTCCCACTCCTCTTTCTATTCTGGTTAGAGCCAGTTTGTGCTGTCCTGTGAAGGAGTAGTACACAGCGTTGTACGAGATCTTCAGTTTCATGGCAATTTCTCGCATGGAATAGCCTTCATTTCTCAGAACAAGAATAGACTGACAAGTTTCAGAAGAAAGTTATTTGTTTCTGGTCATTTTGAGCCTGTAATCGAACCCACAATTGCTGATGCTCCAGATACTCAACTAGTCTCAAGAAGGCCAGTTGTATTGCTTCTTTAATCAGCACAACAGTTTTCAGCTGTGCTAACATAATTGCAAAAGGTTTTTCTAATGATCAATTAGCCTTTCAAAATGATAAACTTGGATTAGCAAACACAACGTGCCATTGGAACACAGATGGTTGCTGATAATTCGCCTATGTAGATATTCCATTAAAAATCAGCTGTTTCCAGCCACAATAGTCATTTACAACACTAACAATATCTACACTGTATTTCTGATCAATTTGATGTTATTTTAATGGACAAAAAATTGCTTTTCTTTCGAAAACAAGGACATTTCTAAGTGACCACAAACTTTTGAACTGTAGTGTACATATTACCTCAATTACCTCGACTAACCTATGCCCCCGCACATTGACTCTATACCGGTACCCCCTGTATATAGCCTCGTTACTGTTCTTTTATTGTTGCTCTTTAATTATTTGTTATTTTTCTATTTTCGTATTTTTTATAATATTTTTTATTTATACTTTTTTTAACTTCCGTTTATTTTGGTAAATACTTTCTTAACACTTATTTTTCTTAAAACTGCATTGTTGGTTAAGGGCTTGTAAATAAGCATTTCACTGTAAGGTCTACACACCTGTTGTATTTGGCGCATGTGACAAATAAACATTTATTTGATTTGATATATATTATTACTTTACTTCTTGGGCAAATTTAGTGGGCGGTCATGGTGGATGTCTTTTTTGGTCCCAGTTGTTGTTGCTAGTCAACTTTCAGTGGACACCACCATGAGTGTCTTTCAGAACCCCTCCTAAAACACCACCTGCTTCATTTTGGTTGTTGTCAGTGACTCTTTGTTAGTTCCCCTTTCTGTTTGAGTGACAACTTTTGTTTTTCTTGCTGCGGAAGGTAACAGTGTGAAAGAGATAATTGATCCTATGAGTTCCCAGAGGCATGGCAGTGTTGTTTTTACTGAAACACCTGTTTTACGTACATTTTTTGTTTGTTTGTATATCATCATCGATGATTTTTTGTTTGTTCATGATATGTCAGTTATTCCAGGTGTTAGGCCAAAACTGACACTGTCGTCTTAATGCTCTAAAAGTTTAGGTCTGCAGGGCTGCATTATGTGATGTTTAATAAGACACACTTCTATTGTTCCTCCATTGAAAGCAGTGAATGGAGAGAGTATGGGAAGCCGAGGAGAACTCACTCACAGAGCCCCTTGGGGACAATAGACTGAGACCTCTAACCTGGACCATCAGAAGTTAGATGGGGGTCTGAATCTCTATGGGAAAATGAATGGATCTATTGCTAATGATCCCAAAAATGTCCTGTATTTTGTGTCTTGCAGGAAGAAATCTGATCAAATATTAACATTTTAACCAAAAAGGTTCAAGACGTATTTCAAACATTTGCTTTTTTAAAGCACATTTGAGCAATACTTACATCTTCTTCAAGATTAATGTAATTTATCCTGTTTTTATACTGTTTGTATGTGAGGAGTGGCTGAAAGTGAAACATTCCACACAAACACGCTTACAGTTTGAATTGATTCTCTGTAACAGTGAGTCTTTATCTGTTTCTTAAGAAAAATATTTCAGTAATGAGCTTTACCCCCAAGGGCTTGATGGGAACTACTTGTTAAAGATGAATTAGCATTTAACAAGGCACACTTCTGTTGTTTAGTGGAGCTCTCTCAATGGGCAGGGTCACACTTTAGTGTCATCATCATCATCATCATCATCAGTCCCATCAGCACCTGTCTGTCTGGGGAACACCCAGAACCACTGGGGAATAGGCACACTTATAGAAGGGAATTAAACAATAGCTGAATACATCAGTTTCCCCAGGGTATAAACTTCTCTGTCTTTCTCCTTCTCTTAATCAAGACATGATATTATATCTAAAAATAATTTGTGTGAAACTGTGCATAATTTATTTTAATTTGAAAATTACGTTTCTCCAAAATCACAATCTGAATGTAAACAAGTTGAACATAAACATACAAATAAAATCCAAAATCATTGTAAATAAAATAAAATAATGTAGAAATGAACAGACACAGTATATGTTTTTGCAGCACACTTTTAGGATAAAATCAAGTGTGCTGATGTTTCCCTCCAGAATCCAGATGGTCTGTGATGTCATACTCTGTCTATAGTAAAACACAGAGCCAATAGCCGTCACTGATGGTCCACTGAGCAGCTTTTGTAGTGCATTGATCACAGCACACAGGACTCAGTGTGGGAATCTCAGATCAGCTCTCTACTCACTCGGACCAGTAGCCTCAAGACAGAGGACACATCTGCTACTTCTGGACTCCAGAGTGACGGATATTTCCCTCCACTCTCAGAATACAGAAGTGGTGAAAGTGTGCAGACACAAACCTCGTAATTGATCAGTTTAATCCTTATCAGTTAGAAGCCAAATAAATGGTCTTATAATTTCTCTTAAGTAGTTTGACAGAAATGTCACGTCATATTGCTCATTCTCAGTGCAATGATTTGATTAGCAGCCCTACCTTGAAATGAAACTGTAGCAGATTCAAATTCATAACAGTGCAATCAGAGAGGTCAAACCCATCTTCACGTGTTTAAATGTGACTGAACCTGCATGGTATAAAAAAACCATTATATTCAACAACAACAATCAAAAGGTATTGCGTAGCACCAAACGTTTTAATGTAGAGGATCAGTGTCATTCTCACATGATGAGCGTGTGCTCTGTCAGTATCATTGATCCCAACATCATGCGGCAGATCTGGGGGTCACCAGTTTCCCAGATTCACACAGTGCTCTGTGAGTCTCTCTCCATCACCCCCACCCTTCCACCTGTTCCCCTGAGATGTGACCATTGTCCCCCAGCAATAAGAACACAGAGCATGTGGCAGCTCCACATTCCTCACTGTCCTCCCAAGCTCACCCATTGGCTACAGACTGTGAGAAACTCCAACAAGCCCAAGACCCACACATTCATATGCAAATTATGGACTATATATAGGAGAGATGAAGTCAGTAGAAATCAAATTATCTCAACACAGTCCTCAACAACACAGAGATCCAGCCATGGCACCTACAATCACTTCAGCTGTGATCTACTGTAATGGGCACCTGACTCTGACCAACACGGTAAATTGAGTTACAAATAGTGTCACATTGTTTCAGTATTTGCTTCTAGAATACAGCCATTCATGTCAGCTCTGTTGTATTCAGAATAAGATTATTAATGACTCTCCTCTTCTCTTCTTGCAGCTAAGAAAGCCAGTGGTTGAGAAGTTACGCAGAGATCGTATCAACAACAGCATTGAGCAGCTCAAGTCTCTCCTGGATCCAGAGATCCTCAACCAGCAGCCAGATTTCAAACTGGAGAAAGCCGACATCCTGGAGATGACAGTTTGCTTGCTGAGACGACAGCAACAGAACCAGCCAGTGAGCTCCTCCTCCTGCTCAGCACCATTCAATCAGGGTTACTCCAGGTGTGTCCAAGAGATTGTGCACTTCCTGTCCAAGGATGAGGTGAAGACACAGACCCAGAGACTGCTGAGCCACTTCCAGAGCCTGCAGCCATCCTCTGATAAGAACAGGAGGGAGAGTGACCTGCCTCAGTTGAGCTCCCCACCCCAGCCCAGCAAAGCATCAGCAAAGAGAAGAGTCCAGTCAACAGCACTCTCTGGAGGCCTTGGTAGAGTCCTACAGACTGGAGGTCCACTATCAGACAAACTCAATGGACCATATTGGTCTAACATTAATGTAATTGACAGTGATCAGAGATCTTCTTCATCTTCTGCTTAAGCAGGATGTTTTAAAATGTGTGTTTCGCTTGAAACTTTTCATTTCAGTTGTACTGAACAAGTAAAACAATTATTTTTCTTACAAAGAAAACGATGAAATCTACAAACACTGCATTTCTGTAATTTTAATAACCTTTATGTTTTGTGAAGCATGTGTTGATTATGTTGATCATGTGTTTATTCATGATTAACATCAACTTCAATGGTCCTCCATGAGGACTTCTAACCCAAAATTGGTATTTTTATCACCAATCTTTTTCTTATTGTCTATAGAGCCCCACAGTGGTGGTGTCATAATCCCCATAAAACCTAACGTTCGAACAGGGAAATGGTTCCAATAGCTTTTCCACCATTCATTTTTCCCATAGGGGATTTTAGAAACACTTAAAATAAGGGCTGTGTTTCGTGTAGGCTTACCCTGGCGTAACGTTTTGCTAACCATGTAAATCTCTCTCGAACAAGGTGACTTTTATCTGTATTTACTCTCAAATTCAAAAATGACAATTAGCATCAAAGTAGACATAATGCAAATCTACAAATCCCTGTAAGCTCCTGCACGTCATCTCTAGCTGACACCTTTGCTAAAAGGTATTGTGTCAATTTAAAACTTGCACAAGACAGTTCACAGAATTGTCCATTTAAAGAAATGTAGCCAATTGATTCATTACTACATTTAACATTAGATACTTAGTCCTGAGTTTCTTACCTTTGCCTCGATTCGGCAGTCTCATCCAGATCATCATGGCATTTGTAGTTCTTTATGATAGCCACATTAGCAGCTAAATAGCATTTGATTTTTTGTGGGTAAATACAGGCAAATATATTGATAAAAGTCACCTTGTCCTAGAGAGATTTTCATGGTTATCAAAATGTCACACCAGGGTAAGCCTACACGAAACACAGCCCTTAACTGTTTAAGTGTTTCTAAAATACCCTAACGGGAAAAAATGAATGGTGGAAAAACGATTGGAACTATTTCCCTGTTTGACCGCTAGGTTTTATGGGTATTATGACTCATATTGTTGTACTCCATCATCGATCTTTGTAAAGGTCAACACGTATTCAAGAATTAGCAATTTTGTTACAACTACATTTTTGTAGTTATATGGTGATATTGACATTATATTGAGCATCTTCTGTGAAGTATGTATCAGTATTAGTTAGGCATTTGTTATTGATCAACTTGAGCTACATCATCACTGATCCTCCATGAGGATTATTTACCCAAACTGGGTATTATACCTGTTATCATCACTCTGTGATTAGAAATAATTGATCTGTTTTTAGATCAGACTTTATGTGTGAAAATGTTGCTCACATTATTTGAATAATGTGTATATTGTAAAGGGGAGAAAATGTTTTCTCTCAATGTGAAACCTTTGTTTATTTTAAACAATATGTTGTCTTTTATAAAGACAGTAACTGTGTATCCTATGCTCTGTTAGAGTATCATATGTCTTGAAGATTGATCCAAGTTGTGGTTTTGATGTGTAATCACCTAAACTATTCACCTTATATTTAGGTGTTCAAATCTATGATGTGACTCTGAGTCAATGTCAATAAATCCCAAAATAATGAAATGTAATCATTTGTTATTGTCCTTGATATTTCCTTCTCTCTCCTGTCATCAACATATTGACTGTGGACTATAACACAGATATACTGTATAAGGTCATAATTACTATTGCAATGATTTGTCACCATGCGTTGAATTTGAAATATTGCATCTCAATCAAGTAATCTACCGTGGTCCCCGTTTTTAGAAGGAACAGAAATAGTGATGTTTTTAAATGTCTAAGAGGAAAAGGCCCAGGGTGTGAAAATGAAGCTATAGTAAGCGTTAGGGTTATGGTTATGGTTAGGGTTGAGCCGGGGTGTGGACATGAAGCTAGAGATAGTGTTAGGGTTATGGTTGGGTTCAACCGGGGTGTGGATATAAAGCTAGGATTATGATTAAGGTTAGGGTTAGTGTTAAGGTGATGGCTAAAATCCACGTCACTTGTCTCTCATTGATCCAATTTAGGTCAGAACCAAGACAAGTGCTATTCTATAGTGCTCACTGTTCTTTAACTCAAATAATTTCCTTCAATCCAAGTTTTTCAGGGAACCTTCTCTAGGACCGGATGCTTCTTTGGTAATTGAAGCATATATAATGGTTTCATAGGCACCAGACTGAACTGAATACCTAACATGATGCATTATAATAAGGCACACTTCTATTGTTCCTCCATTGAGAGCAGTGAATGGAGAGAGTGTGGGAAACCAAGGAAAACTCACTCACAGACCCCCTTTGGGACAATATACTCAGACCTCTGGACCCTGTAGGATGAGGGGTGAGAAGGAATTTCACTAGTAAGGTTTCATCATTTAATTCTATATATTCAATATATCACAGATATATCCGCTACATCAAAATGCTAAAAAATCATGAATAGGTAGCAGCTTTTTAATGTTTCACATATTGCAACCAGGGCTGTGGAAGCAGGGTGTCACGATCGTTGTAAGAGGCAGACCAAGGCGCAGCGTGATAGGCGTACATCTTTTAATGAGTACTTTACACCAACAACAAAACGATACGTGAAGTCTAAAGGTTCACCAACACAAACCTATACAGAACACGATCCCACAAAATAACAGTGCCAAACAGGCTGCCTAAGTATGGTCCCCAATCAGAGACAACAAGCTACAGCTGCCTCTGATTGGGAACCACCCTGGCCAACATAGATATACACGAACTAGAACACAAACCTAGAAAACTAAACAATAGAAAATCCACACCCTGGCTCAACATTTAATAGTCCCCAGTGCCAGGGCGTGACACAGGGGCTATGTGACGGTGGTAAACCTTATCTCCACCAGTTGAAATTAGACAATGAATTGTAAGGACTGCACAAATGTTTTTCTTTAGGTAACAGATCAGGAAATATATTATATGACACTTTATACAAAACATGATCAACTTGTGGTAGTCCTGTGTAGCTCAGTTGGTACAGCGTGGTGCTTGCAACACCAGGGTTGTGGGTTCGAGTCCCACGGGGGACCAGTATGACAAAAAAAGTATGAAAATGTATGCACTCCCTACTGTACGTCACTCTGGATAAGAGTGTCTGCTAAAATGTAAATGTCGTATCAAAGATTATAAATCTTCTATCTATGAAGTATATGCTTTAAAGATATTCAGTATTCTGTCCATTCTTGACTCTCTCTGAATGGCGATATGCTGTACAAGTCTATATTGTAAAAATATTTGTATTTACTACCTTCTTAATTGATGTATGTCTGATTTAAAAATAAAAAAACTTTTCCCCCAGGGTCTTGATAGGAACTGCTTGTGTAGAGATTAATTAGCATTTGACAAGGCACACTTCTGTTGTTTAGTGGAAGCTAATTTGACTCAATAAAGAAAAAAATTGAATATAAATGAAATTTAGAAAAAAAATATATATATATTTTCATCTATGACAAAATGTAAAACTATACACAGGCATACATTTTTGTCAGCAGTCACATCCATTGTGAGATAATAAAATGTGACTGAATCAGTAATAAAGAGTTGAAACACTGTACATTCAACAATGTCCTCATAGGTGGGGACAAAGTTACACTGTACATTTAATGTAGAGGTTCTGTGTCAGTCTCACACGTGTAAGTTGTGATGATGAGCGTGTGCTCTGTCAGTATCATTGATCCCAACATCAGGCAGCAGATATAGAGTATAACATTCATTAATGTAGTCTGATAAAAATGTTCAACGGAATAAAATGTAATAAATATATGATTGTCAAACAGTATGGAAGGAGCCTGTGGTAGTTTTCCCCTCCAGAATCCAGATGGTCTGTGATGTCATACTCTGTCTATAGTACAACACAGAGCCAATAGCCATCACTAATGGTCCACTGAGCAGCTTTTGTAGTGCATTGATCATAGCACACAGGACTTAGTGTGGGAAACTCAGATCAGCTCTCTACTCACACTGACCAGCAGCCTTTAGACAGAGGACACATCTGCTACCTCCAGACTCCACTACCACTATCAAATCTGTGAATACACAAACAGAAGAGCAGTATTGCAACATAAATATACCAGGGGGTGAATGTCAACTTACTTACTACTATACAATATTACGTTTTAAATATACAATATTACGTTTTAAAGGTGGCAATGTTCTTAAATCCCCTGTTTCAAAAAATGTAATAAACGTAATCAAATTATTATACATTTTAGTCGACGCTCTTATCCAGAGCGACTTACAGTTAGTGAGTGCATACATTTTTCATACTGGCCCCCCGTGGGAAATGAACCCACAACCCTGGCGTTGCAAGCGCCATACTCTACCAACTGAGCTACAGGGGCCTATAGTTTGAACCTTATGTTAAAATTATATATAAAATAATTTTAGGAAGGTCTATTCCATTTCCAGGCACCTAAATGCAAATCATATTTTTCTATATTTTGAAACAATATTCACTTAGAAATGCAACCAGAAAGAAAACATAATTTTCATGTAGAGGATATGTGTCAGTCTCACACCTGTAAGTTGTGATGATGTGTGTGTGCTCTCTCAGTATCATTCATCCCAACATCAAGCAGCAGATCTGGGGGTCACCAGTTTCCCAGATTCACAGAGCGCTCTGTGTGTCACTCTCCATCACCCCCCATCTCTCCACCTGCTCCCTTGAGATGTGACCATTGTTCCCCAGCAATAAGAACACTGAGCATGTGGCAGCTCCACATTCCTCATTGTCCTCCCAAGCTCACCCATTGGCTACAGACTGTGAGAAACTCCAACAAGCCCAAGACCCACACATTCATATGCAGATTATGGACTATATATAGGAGAGATGAAGCCAGTATAATTAAGATTCTCTCAACAAAGAGACCAGTACAGCACAGAGATCCAGCCATGGCACCTACAATCGATTCAGCTTGATCTACTGTAATGAGCACCGGACTCTGACCAACAAGGTAAATTGAGTTACAAAGTGTGTTACATTGTTTCAGTATTTGCTTCTGGAATACAGCCATTCATGTCAACTCTGTTGTATTCAGAATAAGATTATTAATGACTCTCCTCTTCTCTTCTTGCTGCTAAGAAAGCCAGTGGTTGAAAAGTTACGCAGAGATCGTATCAACAACAGAATTGGGCAGCTCAAGTCTCTCTTGGGTCCAGAGATCCTCACCCAGCAGCCAGACTCCAAGCTGGAGAAAGCCGACATCTTGGAGATGACACTTTGCTTCCTGAGACGACAGCAACAGAACCAGCCAGTGAGCTCCTGCTTGGCACCTGTCAATCAGGGATACTCCAGGTGTGTCCAAGAGATTGTGCACTTCCTGTCCAAGGATGAGGTGAAGACACAGTCCCAGAGAAGACTGCTGAGCCACTTCCAGAGCCTGCATCCATCCTCTGATAAGAACAGGAGGGAGAGTGACCTGCCTCATTTGAGCTCCCCAGCCCAGCACAGCTTCAGCAAAGAGAATCATCCAGTCAACAGCACACTCTGGAGGCCCTGGAAGAGTCCTACAGACTGGAGGTCCACTCTCAATCAAACTCAATGGAATATGTTGGTCTAACATTAATGCCATGGACAGTGATCAGAGATCTTCTCCATCTTCTGCTTAAGCAGGTTGTTTTAAAAGTTGTGTTTTGATTGAAACTTTTCATTTCAGTTTTACTGAACAAGTTAAAATGTTTTTGTTATAAGAAAACGATTAAATCTGTGATCACTGCATTTTTGTAATGTTAATAACCTTTATGTTTTGTGAAGCATCATAATGTGTTGATTATGTTAATAATGTGTTTTTTATTTATCAACTTCAACTGTCCTCCATGAGGACTTTTAACCCAAAATGGGTATTTTATCATCAATCTTTTTGTGATTATCTATTACCTATCTGTTTAAAGGTCAACACGTATTCAACAATAAGCAATTTTGTTACAACTAAATTTTTGTAGTTATATGGTGATATTGACATTATATTGAGCATCTTCTGTGAAGTATGTGTCAGTATTAGTTAGGCATTTGTTATTGATCAACTTGAGCTACATCATCACTGATCCTCCATGAGGATTATTTACCCAAACTGGGTATTATACCTGTTATCATCACTCTGTGATTAGAAATAATTGATCTGTTTTTAGATCAGACTTTATGTGTGAAAATGTTGCTCACATTATTTGAATAATGTGTATATTGTAAAGGGGAGAAAATGTTTTCTCTCAATGTGAAACCTTTGTTTATTTTAAACAATATGTTGTCTTTTATAAAGACAGTAACTGTGTATCCTATGCTCTGTTAGAGTATCATATGTCTTGAAGATTTATCCAAGTTCTGGTTGTGATGTGTAATCACCTAAACTATTCACCTTATATTTAGGTGTTCAAATCTATGATGTGACTCTGAGTCAATGTCAATAAATCCCAAAATAATGAAATGTAATCATTTGTTATTGTCCTTGATCTTTCCTTCTGTCTACTGTCATCAACATATTGGCTGTGGACTACAACACAAATCTACTGTATAAGCTCATAATTACTATTGCAATGATTTGTCATGAAGTGTTTGAAGTTGAAATATTGCATCTCAATCAAGTAATATACAGTGGTCCCAGTTTTGAGCAGGAACAGAAATAGTGATGCTTTAAAATGTCTAAGAAGAAAAGGCCCAGTGTGTGGACATGAAGCTAGAGTTAGGGTTAGGGTTATGGTTAGGGTTAGGGTTGAGCCGGGGTGTGGATATGAAGCTAAAGATAGGGTTAGGGTTATGGTTAGGGTTCAGCCAGGGTGTGGACATATAGTAAAACTAGGGTTAGGATTAAGGTTAGGGTTAGGGTTAGGGTTAAGGTGATGGTTAAAATCAACATGTCACTTGTCTCTCATTGTTCCAATTGAGGTCAGATCCAATACAAGTGCTATTCTATAGTGCTCACTATTCTTTAACTCAAATTATTTACTCAATCCAAGTTTTTCAGTGAACCTTCTCTAGGACCGGATAATTCTTTGGTAATTGAAGCATATATAATGGTTTCATAGGCACCAGACTGAACTGAATACCTAACATGATGCATTATAATAAGGCACACTTCTATTGTTCCTCCATTGAGAGCAGTGAATGGAGAGAGTGTGGGAAACCAAGGAAAACTCACTCACAGACCCCCTTTGGGACAATAGACTCAGACCTCTGGACCCTGTAGGATGAGGGGTGAGAAGGAATTTCACTAGTAAGGTTTCATCATTTAATTCTATATATTCAATATATCACAGATATATCCGCAACATCAAAATGCTAGAAAATCATGAATAGGTAGCAGCTTTTTGTTTCACATATTGCAACCAGGGCTGTGGAAGCAGGGGCTATGTGAACGTGGTTAACCTTATCTTCACCAGTCAAAATTAGACAATGAATTGCAAGGACTGCACAAAGTTTTTGTATTTTGACAGGGTGTAAGAGGAATTAGGTAACAGATCAGGAAATACATTATATCACACTTCATACAAAACACGATCAGCTTGTGGTAGTCCTGTGTAGCTCAGTTGGTACAGCGTGGCGCTTGCAACACCAGGGTTGTGGGTTCGAGTCCCACGGGGGACTAGTATGACAAAAAAAGTATGAATATGTATGCACTCCCTACTGTACGTCGCGCTGGATAAGAGCGTCTGTTAAAACATCAATGTAGTATCAAAGATTATATACCTTCTATCTATGAAGTATATGCTTTAATGATATTTAGTATTCTGTCCAATCTTGACTCTCTCTGAATGGCGATATGCTGTACTAGTCTATATTGTCAAAATATTTGTATTTACTACCTTCTTAATTGATGTATGTCTGATTTAAAAATAAAAATAACATTTCCCCCAGGGTCTTGAGAGGAACTGTTTGTGTAGAGATTAATTAGCATTTAACAAGGCACACTTCTGTTGTTTAGTGGAAGCTAATTTGACTCAATAAAGAAAAAAATTGAATATAAATGAAATTCAGAAAAATATACATATTTTTTTATTTTCATCTATGACAAAATGTAAAACTATTCATAGGCATACATTTTTGTCAGCGGTCACATCCATTGTGAGATAATAAAATGTGACTGAATCAGTGATAAAGCATTGAAACACTATACATTCAACATTGTCCTCATAGGTGGGGACAAAGTTACACTGTACATTTAATGTAGAGGTTCTGTGTCAGTCTCACACATGTACGTTGTGATGATGAGCATGTGCTCTGTCAGTATCATTGATCCCAACATCAGGCAGCAGATATAGAGTATAACATTAATTCATGTAGTCTGATAAAAATGTTCAACGGAATAAAATGTAATAAATATATGATTGTCAAACAGTATGGAAGGAGCCTGTGGTAGTTTTCCCCTCCAGAATCCAGATGGTCTGTGATGTCATACTCTGTCTATAGTACAACACAGAGCCAATAGCCATCACTAATGGTCCACTGAGCAGCTTTTGTAGTGCATTGATCATAGCACACAGGACTTAGTGTGGGAAACTCAGATCAGCTTTCTACTCACACTGACCAGCAGCCTTTAGACAGAGGACACATCTGCTACCTCCAGACTCCACTACCTCTATCAAATCTGTGAATACACAAACACAAGAGCAGTATTGCAACATAAATATGCCAGGGGGTGAACGTCAACTTACTTACTACTATACAATATTACATATTAAAAGGTGGCAATGTTCTTAAAGCCCCTGTTTCAAAAAATGTAATAAACGTAATCGAATTACTATAGTTAGAACATTATATAAAAATTATACATAAAAAAATAATAGGAAGGTCTATTCCATTTCAGTCTCACACCTGTAAGTTGTGATGATGTGTGTGTGCTCTCTCAGTATCATTCATCCCAACATCAGGCAGCAGATCTGGGGGTCACCAGTTTCCCAGATTCACAGAGCGCTCTGTGTGTTACTCTCCATCACCCCCCATCTCTCCACCTGCTCCCTTGAGATGTGACCATTGCCCCCAGCAATAAGAACACTGAGCATGTGGCAGCTCCACATTCCTCATTGTCCTCCCAAGCTAACCCATTGGCTACGGAATGTGAGAAACTCCAACAAGCCCAAGACCCACACATTCATATGCAGATTATGGACTATGTATAGGAGAGATGAAGTCAGTAGGAATCAGATTCACTCTACACAGAGACCTCTACAGCACATAGATCCAGCCATGGCACCTACAATCACTTCAGCTGTGAACTACTCTAACGAACAACTGACTCTGAGCAACAAGGTAAATTGAGTTACAAAGTGTGTTACATTGTTTCAGTATTTGCTTCTGGAATACAGCCATTCATGTCAACTCTGTTGTATTCAGAATAAGATTATTAATGACTCTCCTCTTCTCTTCTTGCTGCTAAGAAAGCCAGTGGTTGAAAAGTTATGCAGAGATCGTATCAACAACAGCATTGAGCAGCTCAAGTCTCTCTTGGGTCCAGAGATCCTCACCCAGCAGCCAGACTCCAAGCTGGAGAAAGCCGACATCCTGGAGATGACACTTTGCTTCCTGAGACGACAGCAACAGAACCAGCCAGTGAGCTCCTGCTTGGCACCTGTCAATCAGGGTTACTCCAGGTGTGTCCAAGAGATTGTGCACTTCCTGTCCAAGGATTAGGTGAAGACACAGTCCCAGAGAAGACTGCTGAGCTACTTCCAGAGCCTGCAGCCATCCTCTGATAAGAACAGGAGGGAGAGTGACCTGCCTCATTTGAGCTCCCCAGCCCAGCACAGCTTCAGCAAAGAGAATCATCCAGTCAACAGCACACTCTGGAGGCCCTGGAAGAGTCCTACAGACTGGAGGTCCACTCTCAATCAAACTCAATGGAATATGTTGGTCTAACATTAATGCCATGGACAGTGATCAGAGATCTTCTCCATCTTCTGCTTAAGCAGGTTGTTTTAAAAGTTGTGTTTTGATTGAAACTTTTCATTTCAGTTTTACTGAACAAGTTAAAATGTTTTTGTTATAAGAAACCGATTAAATCTGTGATCACTGTATTTTTGTAATGTTAATAACCTTTATGTTTTGTGAAGCATCATCATGTGTTGATTATGTTGATAATGTGCTTTTTAATTATAAACTTCAACTGTCCTCCATGAGGACTTTTAACCCAAAATTGGTATTTTATCATCAATCTTTTTGTGATTATCTATTACCAATCTGTTTAAAGGTCAACACGTGTTCAACAATAAGCAATTTTGTTACAACTACATTTTTGTAGTTATATGGTGATATTGACATTATATTGAGCATCTTCTGTGAAGTATGTGTCAGTATTAGTTAGGCATTTGTTATTGATCAACTTGAGCTACATCATCACTGATCCTCCATGAGGATTATTTACCCAAACTGGGTATTATACCTGTTATCATCACTCTGTGATTAGAAATAATTGATCTGTTTTTAGATCAGACTTTATGTGTGAAAATGTTGCTCACATTATTTGAATAATGTGTATATTGTAAAGGGGAGAAAATGTTTTCTCTCAATGTGAAACCTTTGTTTATTTTAAACAATATGTTGTCTTTTATAAAGACAGTAACTGTGTATCCTATGCTCTGTTAGAGTATCATATGTCTTGAAGATTGATCCAAGTTGTGGTTTTGATGTGTAATCACCTAAACTATTCACCTTATATTTAGGTGTTCAAATCTATGATGTGACGCTGAGTCAATGTCAATAAATCCCAAAATAATTAAATGTAATCATTTGTTATTGTCCTTGATCTTTCCTTCTGTCTACTGTCATCAACATATTGGCTGTGGACCACAACACAAATCTACTGTATAAGGTCATAATTACTATTGCAATGATTTGTCATGAAGTGTTTGAAGTTGAAATATTGCATCTCAATCAAGTAATATACAGTGGTCCCAGTTTTGAGCAGGAACAGAAATAGTGATGCTTTAAATGTCTAAGGAGAAAAGGCCCAGGGTGTGGACATGAAGCTAGATTTAGGGTTAGGGTTATGGTTAGGGTTAGGGTTGAGCCGGGGTGTGCATATGAAGCTAAAGATAGGGTTAGGGTTATGGTTAGGGTTCAGCCAGGGTGTGGACATATAGTAAAACTAGGGTTAGGATTAAGGTTAGGGTTAGGGTTAAGGTGATGGTTAAAATCAACATATCACTTGTCTCTCATTGTTCCAATTTAGGTCAGAACCAAGACAAGTGCTATTCTATAGTGTACACTATTCTTTAACTGAAATGATTTACTCAATCCTAGTTTTTCATTGAAGCATACAGTGGGGAAAAAAAGTATTTAGTCAGCCACCAATTGTGCAAGTTTTCCCACTTAAAAAGATGAGAGAGGCCTGTAAAGTTCATCATAGGTACATGTCAACTATGACAGACAAAATGAGGAAAAAAAATCCAGAAAATCACATTGTAGGATTTTTAATGAATTTATTTGCAAATTATGGTGGAAAATAAGTATTTGGTCAATAACAAAAGTTTCTCAATACTTTGTTATATACCCTTTGTTGGCAATGACACAGGTCAGACGTTTTCTGTAAGTCTTCACAAGGTTTTCACACACTGTTGCTGGTATTTTGGCCCATTCCTCCATGCAGATCTCCTCTAGAGCAGTGATGTTTTGGGGCTGTCGCTGGGCAACACGGACTTTCAACTCCCTCCAAAGATTTTCTATGGGGTTGAGATCTGGAGACTGGCTAGGCCACTCCAGGACCTTGAAATGCTTCTTACGAAGCCACTCCTTCGTTGCCCGGGCGGTGTGTTTGGGATCATTGTCATGCTGAAAGACCCAGCCACGTTTCATCTTCAATGCCCTTGCTGATGGAAGGAGGTTTTCACTCAAAATCTCACAATACATGGCCCCATTCATTCTTTCCTTTACACGGATCAGTCGTCCTGGTCCCTTTGCAGAAAAACAGCCCCAAAGTATGATGTTTCCACCCCCATGCTTCACAGTAGGTATGGTGTTCTTTGGATGCAACTCAGCATTCTTTGTCCTCCAAACACGACGAGTTGAGTTTTTACCAAAAAGTTCTATTTTGGTTTCATCTGACAATATGACATTCTCCCAATCATCTTCTGGATCATCCAAATACACTCTAGCAAACTTCAGACGGGCCTGGACATGTACTGGCTTAAGCAGGGGGACACGTCTGGCGTTGCAGGATTTGAGTCCCTGGCGGCGTAGTGTGTTACTGATAGTAGGCTTTGTTACTTTGGTCCCAGCTCTCTGCAGGTCATTCACTAGGTCCCCCCGTGTGGTTCTGGGATTTTTGCTCACCGTTCTTGTGATCATTTTGACCCCACGGGGTGAGATCTTGCGTGGAGCCCCAGATCGAGGGAGATTATCAGTTGTCTTGTATGTCTTCCATTTCCTAATAACTGCTCCCACAGTTGATTTCTTCAAACCAAGCTGCTTACCTATTGCAGATTTAGTCTTCCCAGCCTGGTGCAGGTCTACAATTTTGTTTCTGGTGTCCTTTGACAGCTCTTTGGTCTTGGCCATAGTGGAGTTTGGAGTGTGACTGTTTGAGGTTGTGGACAGGTGTCTTTTATACTGATAACAAGTTCAAACAGGTGCCATTAATACAGGTAACGAGTGGAGGACAGAGGAGCCTCTTAAAGAAGAAGTTACAGGTCTGTGAGAGCCAGAAATCTTGCTTGTTTGTAGGTGACCAAATACTTATTTTCCACCATAATTTGCAAATAAATTCATTAAAACTCCTACAATGTGATTTTCTGGAATTTTTTTTCTCATTTTGTCTGTCATAGTTGACGTGTACCTATGATGAAAATTACAGCCCTCTCTCATCTTTTTAAGTGGGAGAACTTGCACAATTGGTGGCTGACTAAATATTTTTTCCCCCACTGTAGTTGTATAAGCTGGAAGTAGAGGCCTAAGCATTGTTGTTCACTAGCTTACTCCAATTAGGGAAGGGGTGGTGGGGTTGGAAAGTAATAAAAGGTAAATATATATTTTTTAAAGGATATGTATATGTGTATGTATGTATGTATGTATGTATGTATCCACCATATGGTGGATTGGAAGTGATGCAGACAATTACATTGATGGAAGTTACAATCTGCAATATTAAAGCTGATCTACCCCCCTAAAAAAAAAGTAAGGTTTCATCATTGATTTCTATATATTTATTATACCACAGATATATAATCTACATCAAAATGTAAAAAAAAATGAATAGGTAGCAGCTTTCACATATTGCAACCAGGGCTGTGGAAGCAGGGGCTATGTGACCGTGGTAAACCTTATCTTCACCAGTTGAAATTAGACAATGAATTGTAAGGACTGCACAAATGTTTTTTTTATTATGACAGGGTATAAGAGGAATTAGGTAATAGAGCATATCACACTTTATACAAAACATGATCAGGTTGCGGTAGTCCTGTGTAGCTCAGTTGGTACAGCATGGCACTTGCAACGCCAGGGTTGTGGGTTCGAGTCCCACGGTGGACCAGTACGGGAAAAAAAATATGTAAACGTATGCACTCACTACTGTACGTCGCTCTGGATAAGAGTGTCTGCTAAAATGTAAATGTAGTATCAAAGATTATAAACCTTCTATCTATGAAGTATCTGCTTGAAAGATATTTAGTACTAAGTCCAATCTTGACTATCTCTGAATGGTGATATGCTGTACAAGTCTATATTGTCAAAATATTTGTATTTGCTACCTTCTTAATTGATATATGTCTGATTAAAAAAAAAAAAAAACATTTTCCCCAGAGGCTTGATGGGAACTGCTTGTGTAGAGATGAATTAGCATATAACAAGGCACAGTTATGTTGTTTAGTGGAAGCTCTGTCAATGGGCAGAGTGTGGGAAAGCTCTGGAGAGCAGAGCCTCAGTCTAGTGTCATCATCATCATCATCATCATCAGTCCCATCAGCACCTGTCTGTCTGGGAAACACCCAGAACCACTGGGGAATAGGCACACTTATAGAAGAGAATTAAACAATAGCTGTATACATCAGTTTCCCCAGGGTATAAACTTATCTTTCTTTCTCCTTCTCTTCTGTCTTCATGTGCATACTTAATTTAAATATTAAGCTTCTCCAAAATCGCAATCTGAATGTAAACATATAACATATAAAGCAAGTTGAGCAAAAATCATTGTGAATAAAATAAAATAAATGTAGAAATGTACACGGATACAGCATATGTTTTGCAGCAAACTTTTAGGATAAAATCAAGTGTGCTGGTGTTTCCCTCCAGAATCCAGATGGTCTGTGATGTCATACTGTCTAAACCATCATGTGTGAAACTGTGCATACTTAATTTAAATATTAAGCTTCTCCAAAATCTCAATCTGAATGTAAACATATAACATATAAAGCAAGTTGAGCAAAAATCATTGTGAATAAAATAATATAAATGTAGAAATGTACACGGATACAGCAAGTGTGCTGGTGTTTCCCTCCAGAATCCAGATGGTCTGTGATGTCATACTCTGTCTATAGTACAACACAGAGCCAATAGCCGTCACTGATGGTCCACTGAGCAGCTTTTGTAGAGCATTGATCACAGCACACAGGACTTAGTGTGGGAACTGTCAGGAGTCACATCTATTGTGATATAATAAGATGTGACTAAATCAGTGATAAAGCGTTGAAACACTATACATTCAACAATGTCCTCATAGGTGGGGACAAAGTTACACTGTACATTTAATGTAGAGGTTCTGTGTCAGTCTCACACGTGTAAGTTGTGATGATGTGTGTGTGCTCTGTCAGTATCAATGATCCCAACATCTGGCAGCAGATCTGGGGGTCACCAGTTTCCCAGATTCACACAGCACTATGTGAGTCTCTCTCCATCACCCCCACCCTTCCACCTGTTCCCCTGAGATGTGGCCATTGTCCCCCAGCAATAAGAACACTGAGCATGTGGCAGCTCCACATTCCTCACTGTCCTCCCAAGCTTACCCATTGGCTACAGACTGTGAGAAACTCCAACAAGCCCAAGACCCACACATTCATATTTATATTTCACCTTTATTTAACCAGGTAAGCCAGTTGAGAACAAGTTCTCATTTACAACTGCGACCTGGTAAAGATAAAGCAAAGCAGTGCGATAAAAACAACAACAAAGAGTTACATGGGGTAAAACAAAACATAAAGTAAAAAATACAACAGAAAATATATATACAGTGTGTGCAAATGTAGCAAGTTATGGAGGTAAGGCAAATAAATAGGCCATAGTGCAAAATAATTACATTAGTATTAACACTGGAATGATAGGTGTGAAAGAGATGATGTGCAAATAGAGATACTAGGGTGCAAATTAGCAAAATAAAGAACAATATGGGGATGAGGTAGTTGGGTGGGCTAATTTCAGATGGGCTGTGTACAGGTGCAGTGATCGGTAAGGTGCTCTGACAACTGATGCTTAAAGTTAGTGAGGGAGATAAGAGTATCCAGCTTCAGAGATTTTTGCAGTTCGTTCCAGTCATTGGCAGCAGAGAACTGGAAGGAATGGCGGCCAAAGTAGGTGTTGGCTTTGGGGATGACCAGTGAGATATACCTGCTGGAGCGCATACTACTATGGGGGTGTTGCTATGGTAACCAATGAGCTAAGATAAGGCGGGGATTTGCCTAGCAGGGATTTATAGATGGCCTGGAGCCAGTGGGTTTGGCGACGAATATGTAGTGAGGACCAGCCAACAAGAGCGTACAGGTCACAGTGGTGGGTAGTATATGGGGCTTTGGTGACAAAACATATGGCACTGTGATAGACTACATCCAATTTGCTGAGTAGAGTGTTGGAGGCTATTTTGTAAATAACATCGCCGAAGTCAAGGATCGGTAGGATAGTCAGTTTTTCGAGGGCATGTTTGGCAGCATGAGTGAAGGAGGCTTTGTTGCGAAATAGGAGAGTGTTGTATGGCATTGAAGCTCGTTTGGAGGTTTGTTAACACAGTGTCCAATGAAGGGCCAGATGTATACAAAATGGTGTCGTCTGCGTAGAGGTGGATCTGAGAGTCACCAGCAGCAAGAGCGACATCATTGATATACACAGAGAAAAGAGTCGGCCCAAGAATTGAACCCTGTGGCACCCCCATAGAGACTGCCATAGGTCCAGACAACAGGCCCTCCGATTTGACACATTGAACTCTATCTGAGAAGTAGTTGGTGAACCAGGCGAGGCAGTCATTTGAGAAACCAAGGCTATTTAGTCTGCCAATAAGAATGCAGTGGTTGACAGAGTCGAAAGCGGCTGCACAGTACTGTCTATTATCAATCGCGGTTATAATATCGTTTAGGACCTTGAGCGTGGCTGAGGTGCACCCATGACCAGCTCGGAAACCGGATTGCATAGCGGAGAAGGTACGTATGATTCGAAATGGTCGGCGATCTGTTTGTTAACTTGGCTTTCAAAAACTTTCGAAAGGCAGGGCAGGATGGATATAGGTCTGTAACAGTTTGGATCTAGAGTGTCACCCCCTTTGAAGAGGGGGATGAACGCGGCAGCTTTCCAATCTCTGGGGATCTCAGACGTTACGAACGAGAGGTTGAACAGGCTAGTAATAGGGGTTGCGACAATTTCGGCGGCTAATTTTAGAAAGAAAGGGTCCAGATTGTCTAGCCCAGATGATTTGTAGGGGTCCAGATTGTGCAGCTCTTTCAGAACATCAGCTGTCTGAATTTGTGTGAAGGAGAATTGTATTGAGCATATGCAGATTATGGACTATTTATGGGAGATATTAAGCCAGTAGGAATCAGATTCACTCTACACAGAAACCTCTAAAGCACAGAGATCCAGACATGGCAACTAAAATCACTTCAGCTTTGTTCTACTCTAATGAGCACCTGACTCTGACCAACAAGGTAAATTGAAGAATCAATTTCAAGGAAATTCATCTTATTTGATTGATTATTTATTCGTTTCAATAATGCCATATTTCAGAATAAGGTTATTAATGACTCTCCTTTTCTCTTCTTGCAGCTAAGAAAGCCAGTGGTAGAAAAGTTATACAGAGATCGTATCAACAACAGCATTGAACAGCTCAATTCTCTCCTGGGTCCAGAGATCCTCAACCAGCAGCCAGACTCCAAGCTGGAGAAAGCCGACATCCTGGAGATGACAGTTTGCTTCCTGAGACAACAGCAACAGTACCAGCCAGTAAGGTCCTCCTCCTGCTCAGCACATGTTAATAAGTGTTACTCCAGGTGTGTCCAAGAGATTGTGCACTTCCTGTCCAAGGATGAGGTGAAGACACAGTCCCAGAGACTGCTGAGCCACTTCCAGAGCCATCCTCTGATAAGAACAGGAGGGAGAGTGACCTGCCTCAGTTGAGCTCCCCAGACCAGCACAGCATCAGCAAAGAGAAGAGTCCAGTCAACAGCGCTCTCTGGAGGCCCTGGTAGAGTCCTGCAAATTGGAGCTCCACTCAGACAAACATAATGGACCATGTTGGTTTAACATTAATGTCATGGACAGTGCTAAAGAGATGTTCTTCATCGTTTGCAGTGAATGAGGCTTTTTATTTCCGTTGTATTGAAGTAAAAACATTTTTCTGAGAAAAATGTGTGATATATGAAAACCTGACTAGGTCAAAATTCACTTTTTTTTTTACCTCTACATTGTATTGAGCATATTCTGTGAAGCATGTATCAGTTATATTGATAATGTTCAACCTGAGTTATACAGTGGGGAGAACAAGTATTTGATACACTGCCGATTTTGCAGGTTTTCCTACTTACAAAGCATGTAGAGGTCTGTAATTTTTATCATAGGTACACTTCAACTGTGAGAGACGGAATCTAAAACAAAAATCCAGAAAATCACATTGTATGATTTTTAAGTAATTAATTTGCATTTTATTGCATGACATAAGTATTTGATCACCTACCAACCAGTAAGAATTCCGGCTCTCACAGACCTGTTAGTTTTTCTTTAAGAAGCCCTCCTGTTCTCCACTCATTACCTGTATTAACTGCACCTGTTTGAACTCATTACCTGTATAAAAGACACCTGTCCACACACTCAATCAAACAGACTCCAACCTCTCCACAATGGCCAAGACCAGAGAGCTGTGTAAGGACATCAGGGATAAAATTGTAGACCTGCACAAGGCTGGGATGGGCTACAGGACAATAGGCAAGCAGCTTGGTGAGAAGGCAACAACTGTTGGCGCAATTATTAGAAAATGGTAGAAGTTCAAGATGACGGTCAATCACCCTCGGTCTGGGGCTCCATGCAAGATCTCACCTACTGGGGCATCAATGATCATGAGGAAGGTGAGGGATCAGCCCAGAACTACACGGCAGGACCTGGTCAATGACCTGAAGAGAGCTGGGACCACAGTCTCAAAGAAAACCATTAGTAACACACTATGCTGTCATGGATTAGAAGCCTGCAGCGCACGTAAGGTCGTCCTGCTCAAGCCAGCGCATGTCCAGGCCCGTCTGAAGTTTGCCAATGACCATCTGGATGATCCAGAGGAGGAATGGGAGAAGGTCATGTGGTCTGATGAGACAAAAATATAGCTTTTTGGTCTAAACTCCACTCGCCGTGTTTGGAGGAAGAAGAAGGATGAGTACAACCCCAAGAACACCATCCCAACCGTGAAGCATGGAGGTGGAAACATCATTCTTTGGGGATGCTTTTCTGAAAAGGGGACAGGACGACTGCACCGTATTGAGGGGAGGATGGATGGGGCCATGTATCGCGAGATCTTGGCCAACAACCTCCTTCCCTCAGTAAGAGCATTGAAGATGGGTCGTGGCTGGGTCTTCCAGCATGACAACGACCCGAAACACACATCCAGGGCAACTAAGGAGTGGCTCCGTAAGAAGCATCTCAAGGTCCTGGAGTGGCCTAGCCAGTCTCCAGACCTGAACTCAATAGAAAATCTTTGGAGGGAGCTGAAAGTCTGTATTGCCCAGCGACAGCCCCAAAACCTGAAAGATCTGGAGAAGGTCTGTATGGAGGAGTGGGCCAAAATCCCTGCTGCAGTGTGTGCAAACCTGGTCAAGACCTACAGGAAACGTATGATCTCTGTAATTGCAAACAAAGGTTTCTGTACCAAATATTAAGTTCTGCTTTTCTGATATATCAAATACTTATGTCATGCAATAAAATGCAAATTAATTACTTAAAAATCATACAATGTGATTTTCTGGATTTTTGTTTTAGATTCCGTCTCTCACAGTTGAAGTGTACCTATGATAAAAATTACAGACCTCTATATGCTTTGTAAGTAGGAAAACCTGCAAAATCGGCAGTGTATCAAATACTTGTTCTCCCCACTGTATCATCACTGTTCCTCTATGAGGATTATTTTCCCACACTGGGTATTATGTTATCACCACTTTTATCTGTTTCATTACCTGAATTATGTGTTTACTGCAGATGTTCTCATTCTAAAACCCTTGTTTATTTCAAACAATTCTGTGTGTCTTTACTTTACTTTATCATGTCTTAGAGATTTATCCAAGTTCTTGGTGTGACATTGAATCACTTTATTTGCACCTTAAATTAAGGTGTTACAGTGCCTTGCAAAAGTATTCGTCCCCCTTGGCATTTTTCCTATTTTTCTTGCATTACAACCTGTAATTTAAATGGATTTTAATGTGGATTTCATGTAATGGACATACACAAAATTGTCCAAATTGGTGAAGTGAAATGAAAAAAATAACTTGTTTCAAAAAATTCTAAAAAATAAATAACAGAAAAGTGGTGCGTGCATAGGTATTCACCCCCTTTGCTATGAAGCCCATAAATAAGATATGGTGCAACCAATTACTCTTCAGAAGTCACATAATTAGTTAAATAAAGTCCACCTGTGTGCAATCTAAGTGTCACATGATCTCAGTATATATAAACCTGTTCTGAAAGGCCCCAGAGTCTGCATCACCACTAAGCAAGGGGCACCACCAAGCAAGCGGCACCATGAAGACCAAGGAGCTCTCTAAACAGGTCAGGGACAAAGTTGTGGAGAAGTACAGATCAGGTTTGGGTTATAAAAAAATATCAGAAACTTTGAACATCCCACAGAGCACCATTAAATCCATTATTTAAAAAATGGAAAGAATATGGCACCACAACAAACCTGCCAAGAGAGGGCCGCCCACCAAAACTCACGGACCAGGCAAGGAGGGTATTAATCAGAGAGGCAACAAAGAGACCAAAGATAACCCTGAAGGAGCTGCAAAGCTCCACAGTGGAGATTGGAGTATCTGTCCATAGGACCACTTTAAGCCGTACACTCCACAGAGCTGGGCTTTATGGAAGAGTGGCCAGAAAAAAGCCATTGCTTAAAGAAAATAATAAGCAAACACGTTTGGTGTTCGCCAAAAGGCATGTGGGAAACTCCTCAAACATATGGAAGAAGGTACTCTGGTCAGATGAGACAGAAATTGAGCTTTTTGGCCAACAAGGATAATGCTATGTCTGGCGCAAACCCAACACCTCTCATCACCCCGAGAACACCATCCCCACAGTAAAGCATGGTGGTGGCAGCATCATGCTGTGAGGATGTTTTTCATCGGCAGGGACTGGGAAACTGGTCAGAATTGAAGGAATGATGGATGGCACTAAATACAGGGAAATTCTTGAGGGAAACCTGTTTCAGTCTTCCAGAGATTTGAGACTGGGACGGAGGTTCACCTTCCAGCAGGACAATGACCCTAAGCATAGTGCTTAAGCAACACTTGAGTGGTTTAAGGGGAAACATTTAAATGTCTGCCTAGTCAAAGCACTCAATCCAATTGAGAATCTGTGGTATGACTTAAAGATTGCTGTACACAAGCAGAGCCCATCCAACTTGAAGGAGCTGGAGAAGTTTTGCCTTGAAGAATGGGCAAAAATCCCAGTGGCTAGATGTGCCAAGCTTATAGAGACATACCCCAAGAGACTTGCAGCTGTAATTGCTGCAAAAGGTGGCTCTACAAAGTATTGACTTTTGTTTCACAATAAAATATATTTTGCATTTTGTGTAAATCAAATGATACAAACCCCACAAAAATCCATTTTAATTCCAGGTTATAAGGCAACAAAATAGGAAAAATGCCAAGGAGGGTGAATACTTTCCATTTTAATAAAAGAAAAGTAATCAAATTAATTACTTTGCTCTTGTTCTTTGCTTTTCCCTCTCGTTACTATGACAACATTTCAGCTCAACAACATGGACTGTTCATAGAAGTACAGTTTTCACCCATATAATGGGACAAAGTATCCATTTTGGTCTAAGATTAATGTCTTGAGAAGTTACTATCAAGTAAGTATCTTCTTCATCCCGTGCACAGGTTTATGATGTAAATGTTGAAGTTATTATTTAAGTTTTATGTCATGATATGTAGGCCTACCTGAAATATAATTACACTGTCAGAATTACCATGGAAATGTGTGACGTTACTAGTGATAGTGAATGCCAAATTGAGCAACATTTTCTCATTTGAATGAAGCCATCCCACTGGGCACATTCTTCCACTCAATGTCTATTCCACGTTGGTTCAATGTCATTTTATTGAAATGACATGGAAACAACGTTGATTCAACCACTGTGTGCCCACTGGGATGATAGTACAACGCCATTTACGCTGAAGGTGTGGGCACAAAAACACTTTTTCCTTAAGAACTTTAAGCCATTTAAAGAACAAATTGATTAGTAATTGATCTTGAACAATGAGATCAAACCAAACATGGCTAGAGATTGTGCGTGGTGCCACAATTTGGTGCTACTGTCGTAGAAATATTTGACTAAAAAATAGTCAACTCAAAAATATCTCAAGAGACTGGAGCTTGTGAATCCAGAAATTAGACTTTATTATTGCGTAACAAAGCCGAGCCACTCCATGGAACGGCTGTCTCTCTTTGGCTTAGAGATCTCTTATATACACACACAAATGCACAGTCATGTATACAGTGGGGAAAAAAAGTATTTAGTCAGCCACCAATTGTGCAAGTTCTCCCACTTAAAAAGATGAGACAGGCCTGTAATTGTCATCATAGGTACACATCAACTATGACAGACAAAATGAGAAAGAATATTCCAGAAAATCACATTGTAGGATTTTGTATGAATTTATTTGCAAATTATGGTGGAAAATAAGTATTTGGTCAATAACAAAAGTTTCTCAATACTTTGTTATATACCCTTTGTTGGCAATGACACAGGTCAAACGTTTTCTGTAAGTCTTCACAAGGTTTTCACACACTGTTGCTGGTATTTTGGCCCATTCCTCCATGCAGATCTCCTCTAGAGCAGTGATGTTTTGGGGCTGTCGCTGGGAAACACGGACTTTCAACTCCCTCCAAAGATTTTCTATGGGGTTGAGATCTGGAGATTGGCTAGGCCACTCCAGGACCTTGAAATGCTTCTTACGAAGCCACTCCTTCGTTGCCCGGGCGGTGTGTTTGGGATCATTGTCATGCTGAAAGACCCAGACACATTTCATCTTCAATGCCCTTGCTGATGGAAGGAGGTTTTCACTCTAAATCTCACGATACATGGCCCCATTCATTCTTTCCTTT